CATCAATTCAATCAAGAATTGTTGTATTGATTGCTGTAATAAATAAATAAATTTTATAATATTTTGCATAAAATTTTATTAGAACTTTATAACATTTTATAACATTTTGCATAACATTCTATAGCATTTATAACATTTTATAACATTTATAACATTTTATAACATTTTGCATAACATTTTATAACATTTTGCATAACCTTTCATAGCATTTTGCATAACATTTATAACATTTTGTAACATCTAGCATAACATTTTAGAACATTTTTCAGAACATTTTGTACAACATTTTGTACAACATTTTGTAGAACATTTTAGAACATTTTGCATAACATTTTATAACATTTGCATAACATTTTAGAACATTTTGCATAACCTTTTATACAGGGTCGGACTGGCGAGGGAGGTTTGGGGTATTCCAACCCGGGCTCCTGCTATGTTTAAAGGTGCTGGGCCTCTCTATAAATCTAGATACACAAACAAAACACACAAAAATGAAAAATTAATAATAACTAATTATTGTAAATATGCATCAATTTTGTAAAGATAATACAATAAATATGATTATTTCTACGATTAAAATATGAAATGTTATAAAATATACAAAGATATTGTAAAGCCTTTACTACCTAGTGGTAGAGTAAATTATCTTGAGTAAGAGAGTAAAAAATTAATTTAATTTAAAAAAACATTAAATTTCGTATTTTTATGGAGTCATGCCTGTAAATTTTATTTAAGGCCAGGGTACTGGAGAGGATAAACATGTGCTGGTGCAAAACTGTTTTTGAGCCCCCCTCTTTATAATGATTATTTTACTAAGACATTCAGAACGTAATAATGATTATAAAACATAATAAGCATAATAAGCATTTACTGCTTCTGGTTCTATCCTCTCTGGTTCTATCCTTCTATAATCTCTGGTAGGGAAGCACTGGCTTATAAGAAGCTAGTGCTTCCCAACCAGAGAGGTTCAGAAATATTTAATGCAGAAATATTTAATGGAGTTGGAGATTTTATTATTTTAAATATTATTTCTTAATAAACATTATATTTCAGTTTTTTGTATTTATAAAAAATATATAGTGAAATATAGTTGGAGGTCAGTTTTAAATACGGTAAAATGGGTTAATCTAAAAAAATTCTCATTTTCCAATTATAAAATTTTTTTTACAATTTTTTTATCTATATAGTTTTAAAAAAAAGTTAATATTGTAAGAAAATAAAATATATAACATTATATTATAAAACTAAAATTAAATTTTTTGATTTTTAATTTTGTGATAATGGCTATGTTCTTTAAACAATAAAATACAAATTGTATTTGGTTACATAACCATAAATCCATTTTAGCCAGGGACGTCCCAAAGAGGTCTTCCATGGAAGGGTGTATGTAATTTTTTGCCAACTAGAAACACCTAAAAAAAAAAACAAGGTCCTTAATATTTGCAATTAGCCAACTAGTTCAAAACTTGCTCAATGTGCCAACTCAAATGCTTATATGACAGCTTGGGGGGGGGGGAGGAGTTAGACACCTCCGACACCCCCTCCCCCCATCGCGATGGCTCTGGTTTTAGCGTGGCAATAGTTTGCAGCAAATAAAATGGTGCAACGCAGCGTTTTAGAATTAATATATTTTTAAAACCTTGCATATGAATTGATTTTTTTAAACGTGTTGAAAAAAGTAATGGACGGTCATGGTCAAAGATATGGAAAGTTGCATACAAACTATTAAAAATTTGCTATAACCTTTTAAAAAACAACTATGTGATTAAGAGTTTATGTATTTTTACTAAACTTTTTGCTACAAAAAAGGCCCCATCTATCTCTCCTCTCATGGGCCCATGAGTGCCAGTCCGAGTCTGCTTTTATAACATTTTGCATAACATTTTAAAATATTTTGCATAACATTTTATAACATTTTGCGTAACATTTTAAAAGATTTTGCATAACCTTTTATAACATTTTGCATAACATTTTATAACATTTTGCATAACATTTTATAACATTTTGCATAACCTTTTATAACATTTTGCATAACATTTTATAACAATTTGCATAATATTTTATAACATTTTATAACATTATGCATAACATTTTATAACATTTTATAACATTTTATAACTTTTTATTACATTTTATAACTTTTTATAACAAATTAGAACATTTTAGAACATTTTAGAACATTTTAGAACATTTTAGAACATTTTCCATAACCTTTTATAACATTTTGCATTACCTTTGATAACATTTTGCATAACATTTTATATAATTTTTTATAACATTCTATAACATTTTGCTTAACATTTTGCATAACATTTTATAACATTTTTTATAACATTTTATAACATTTTGCTTAACATTTTGCATAACATTTTATAATATTTTGCATAACATCTTGCATAATATTTTATAACATTAGCATGACATTTAAAAAATTTTCAAGATCGCTTATAAAAGTTTTTTAGAAAAGTTTTCAATTTTCGCTTAAAATTTTTATGGCTCTTCACCAAAATTATAATTTAAATTTGGGTTTATTGATCTTTTTATGTTTGAAATGGCCTGTGTATATACAACATTTGTTTAACAAAGTATTATTGCAAAAGATAACATAACGTTTGAGGGATTGAGGAGGGATGGAGCCTTGTTTCATAACGTAAAAATAATATTTGCATAACAGAATATTTTTTTTTTAATATTTCAAATATATTAAATTATTTTTTATTTTGTCATAATTCACTGCACAAATTTATTTGGGATTTTATTTTAATTTGCTAGGGATTTTATTTTATTTCAGTGAAAATTTCTTTAAAAAGTTTACTAATAGAATGTTAGTGTAAAAAAATAATGAAGCAAATAAAAATAATGAAGCAAATAAAAATAATGAAGCAAATAAAAATAATGAAGCAAATAAAAATAATGAAGCAAATAAAAATAATGAAGCAAATAAAAATAATGAGGCAAATAAAAATGATGAAGCAAATAAAAATAATGAAGCAAATAAAAAAATTTTAAGTAACTATAAGAGTTGGGAAATTCAATGGTTAAAAATATTTGTATATGAGTTTATATAAAATTTCATATTGATCTTTTTCAAATAATTTTCAATACGTTGATTTAAACAAAATACGTTTAAATGGTTTAAACTCGTATATCTTAAGGATTATTTTTGAGACAGTAGTTGAAATGACAACGCTAAGTAAATGCTCTGCAGTTATTTAGTTGTCATTTTAAAATGACAATAAAAATATTTTTAATAGTACCCATTAAAAAAATTTTTATTGTAATATTTTTTATATAAAATGGAGACTGTTGTAAGATATTTTTTGTAACATTTTATGTTTTCTTCTATTTATTTATTTTTTAATAAGATCGTATATTATTAAACTAAACTTTACATGAGTTAGATAAATTGTTGAGGAATTAAAATAACTGTTTTATTTTTAATTGTTTTTCATTTTTTTAAATTTTTATTAATTTTTTTTTCAAATATTTATTTAAAGTATTTAATCAAAAAACTTTCTCTAAACTTTTCAAATAGATTAAGAGAAAGGTGGGATGGTAACATATCGTCCCCCCGACGACGACTTCGAGAGGACACTTGATGTAAGTATAAAATAAACAAAAAAGTATTCCTAAATGTAAGGGAAAGCTTTTTAATGTTCAGGTTAACTAACATTTTATCTATTATAAGGTAGATAAATTGCATAAAAGATTTTTAAAAAATATACTTTAAAAGATCTAGTTTTCATATTATAAATCTCTCAGCGAAACGCCAGTTTTTTTATAAACTTTTTCTTTTATATGAACCACTGTTTACATATATATTTGAAAGTAAACTTTTCCTTAATAATATTACTTTTTTAATTTAAGTTTATAAATAATTCAAAACATTTTTTGTATTCTAATTAAATTAATAAACAAAAAATTCTAAAAAGCATTTAAAATAAATACACTTTACTGTTAACTATATTATACTACCATAATATTTTACTATGTAATATTTGAAGAATGAAACTCTACCCCTGCCTTAACTCAAATCTTTAGTTGGTGCATGTACATTTTACTGCGAACTCTGTCTATTTGTCAGTCGGTTTCTGTACTTTTCTATTTGTATACAAGTTGTTTAAGGGGACATTTTCTATACAAAAGAACGGATATTTATGGGGACACAATGACGACCCCGTAAAATTATTTGTTTCCGTAAGTAATCGTTTTTTCATGATTTGTTTACGTAACTTTTTTTAATGTATGTATATATGTGTGTGTTTATATATATATATATATATATATATATATATATATATATATATATATATATATATATATATATATATATATATATATATATATATATATATAGCTAATATAAACTTTGCATCGGTCAATTGTTCATGTACCTAAATATGGTACATGAACAATTGACCGAATAGTTGGAATTTAGCTTAAAAAACCAATCAAACAATGTCAGATTGACACCTTAACAAAAGACAAAATAACGGTATTTTTATTTTTTAAAGTTTAGAGACCCTCTTTTTTTTAGAAAACAACAAAAAACCATTGTTTTTTAAAAAAAAAAAGTTTTTGCGGGATCTTTTTCGGACTTGGGTTCTTAAAGATTAATAGGCTTGGATTAAAGCACATGTTTATGTGCCACATTTCTTTTTACTTGCGGCCCATGTATTTTATGATTTAATGTAAATAAGTTATACGGAACAAAATATAATATTTAAACTCAACGTGTATTACACTCATGTTGCGTACAATAGTTTTTTTTAAATATAACGACTGTTTTTATATTGCAAAAATTTACAATATGTAATATTTTCAATTCAATACAACTTTTTATTCAAGTTTAAAAAAGGAAAAAAAGTTAAGAGAAAGAACTTTTAAAGCTATTATGCAAGAGTTTCGTATTACAGTTTAATCTTCCTTTTTCGTAGCCTGCTCATTCATCGTCTACACGACGTTTACTTAACGTCGCAGTCAAAAATAACGCCTAGTCATAATAAAATAAATATAAAATATATGATACAATACTGTTTTTAAAATGCGTTTTAAATAATTTTGTAGTTTTGTATAATGGCTGTAACCCACAATATGGATTTTGTTGCGCCGAATGACGACGTCGTCTACTGACTTGTGACATTCATAGTGGGCGTATCAATTCACAAGATACACCCAATGAAAATTTACAACTTTTTTTTATTTTCGCATTTACTCTACTAATTTTTTTTTAAATTTTCCAATTTCATCTTTTCAATTTCGTCATTTAATTTATTCACTTCGTTTTGAAGTTCTTTAATTTTTTTTATTTGATTGGTTATTCTCTTATTGGAAGAATCACAAACAGTACGAGATTTTTCATCAAAACTTCTCAGTCTTGATGGAGCTAGACTAGTACCACTCTTCGTTGGAAGCCACATGAATGATCGTTCTAGTTCATTACTTCGAAGATTGTCAGTCATAGAAATAACATCATCTTTTACAGTTAAATACCAGGTTGTTTTACCGGTATCGACGGATAATGTAACATGCATGAGTTGAGTAAGATTCATATTGAAAAGACATCGTTTTCGTGAACGGTGGTTTTTGCTACCATCAGCATTTTCCTAAAATTCAATTTTAGTTTGAAAGAATGTTCCATATTGGAATCAAAATAAAATTGAAAGAAAAAAGTTGAGGCATACCTTAAAAGAAATAACTCCGTCATTTTTCACACACAAATATTGCTTGGTGTGTTCAGACTTGATCTTTAATCGCCCATACGAAACTGTCTCAGTAACAAACTGGTTTTCTAAAATAAAAGGTTTTAAAATATTATCTATTGAAAAAATATTTTCTTTATAAAAATAATCACCCAAATAAAAATACAATTAAAAAAGGTTTGTTTATCGCAACCCCTTTTGAGATTGAATTATTCCAAATAGAAGCACTTGTTTACCTAATCTAAATATTACCAAACAAATTATTTAAAATGCTTTTTTGCCGTATATTTTTTTTTCATGAAAAATGTTGTTTTTATGTGAATCGTAGTTTTTTTACATAAAAAATTCTGCGTAGGTAAAAACGTAATTTTTTACTTTAAAGTTATGCAAGTTAAGTTTTCTTCTAAAAGTCACGCAATTTACGTTGACGTAATGTTTTTTTAACTTTATTTTTACGAGGTATAAGTTAAATTTTTTACTAATATATGAATCGCTAACTTGAAAAAGGGGACATGTTATGTGAATTTTTGCAGGACATGTCCTCTTTTTCAAGTTAGCGATTCATATAATGCAGGATCACTGATATATAAAATGCAGAAACACAAATATATAAAATATAGGATCACTAATATGTGTAATGCAAAATCACTAATATATATATATATATATATATATATATATATATATATATATATATATATATATATCAAATATGCGGATCACAAATAATTCAGGTTTTGGGTTTCAAATTCATACTCCAGATTCAATGAATCTGAAGCTATTTTTGCAATATGCTACTGGCGCTACAATGTCACGACAAAATTCAAACGGAAAACTGTTTTAAACGACCACTACCATCCTCCGTATAAAGGTCTCATAAACATAAATTTTTAATAAGAAAAAAATTTCAAGAGCCGTATTTTTATTCAAAGCATATCTTTTATTTAGAGATGTGCAAATGAGGCTTTCGCGCACCTCTAATACAAAGTAAAATATTTATGAGTTATAAAATAATAATAATTTACAAAAAATAATATATTAATTATGATCTAAAAATTATGATTTATAAAGGATATTGTCACAAAACCATCAAAGTTTACTTTGCAAACTTATTTTATCATAATGTAACTAATAATTAGTAATAATTGAAAGAACATTTCCTTTACTTTATTATTACAAGTATTAATGTTTCCGCATGCAGTTTATATTTCCTAGTAAATTGTTATTATTTATTGTCTTTATTATTTGCAAAGAAATAATGTAACCTAAAAAAATCACCCATAAAAAGCAAATAACAGGGTTCATATCACTACTTTGAACATAAAAAATTCCAAATATCAATAGAGGCACTTGTTTACTTATTATCTTTATGTAAACATTATACAAATAAAACCCTTCAAGTCTATTTTAGTCTTTTTAATGGAATATAAATAGTAAAAATAGGAACAAACATATTAATGTAAATGTTAAATTAAGTTATGCAAGAAACAAAAAATAACACTGTTTCTGATTTACCTCTTCCGTATATTCTCTGTTTTTTGTTAATTATTAATTCTGATTCATGATCCCAAGATTTGCTACCAGGTTTTTCTTGAACAATAACAAGACGTTTTGCTGATATAGAGTATAACTCCATAGCATCGCTAACTGTTGCGTCGTATGAATTTTGAAGATCGTGAGTCGGTTCTGCAAGCGAACCTTCATAATGCGTTTCAAATATCGACTCACTGGATTTCTTTTGAAACTATTTTTTTTTTTTTTTTAAAAAAAAAAAAAGTAATTTTATTAATTTAAATTTCGACTAACCTGAAACAAAATTTTATATATAGATAGATATATAACAGTAATAAAAAATTCTTTGTTTCATATAATATATAATGTCGATGCAAAAAAAATTTTAAATACCATATTTCCTTCATGAACTTTTGAAGTAGTAACAGGAGGAGATGATTGGATTGATAAAGAAATAAAAACCATGCTAAAATAGATCATTTTTACGATCATGAATTTTGAAAGTTAAGTTAAACGTTTTTTTGTTAATAATGAGAATAAGTTTTAAAAGCATTTTTTATATAAAGATTTGCACGAACATATTTTTTTTTTCTTAAGAAGAAAAAAATATTCTAAAGAATGAAACTTTCGAATAAAAAAAAACTTCAAAGCTACAAACATTAATAAGAAAATTATAATATAAATATCTTACCTCAAAGTAATAAATGTGACTTGTTTTAAACCATTCATTCGAATCATTTTAATATCCTTTTCTGTTTAAAAATATTTTATCGCTAAGTTATTATTTTTGAATAAGTGCTAACGATAAACAACAAGTAACGCAGAAAGTTTTTGCCGAGAACCTACTACAAAGAATAACGATGAAAAATAAGGGTTTTCGGATGTGGTTATGTGTATAGTATTAAATAATGGTCACCAAAAATTGATTGCACCTTATCAGTTTGAGTATTGCCACCTCCTATGTTTTTAAATATAAAATGAATGAGTTCCCTATTGTCAAATTTATTGCGCGCTACTTCAATCAATTGTGACTAATTCAAATGACGTATTATGTCAATAAAATAAAATCTGATATGGGTGTCAGGATACGAGGACAGGAAAGCCTTAAACTAGCGAATACAAAAGAAAGACTAACTTATTAAAATTTTAACAAATTATATGTACATAGTATAAGTGATTAGTTTCATTTTCTGAGATTTTTGTTTCTTTAAATTTTTTAATTTATCAATAATCTGGGAATTTTTTTTTTAATTTGACAGTTTATTCAGTTTTGCAAAAGTTTGATTTTTATAACTTAAGTATTTTAGAGCATTTAATGTTTACAAAAAATATTTGCATTATTAATTAAATTTCCTATGGCTTAAAAAATGAAACAAGTTGCTTATGTATAATACCTTCCTGTGTATAAAATGAACAAATCCAGGTCTGAAGAGAATTTCTTATTTTAAAAGCGCCTTTTTTTGTCGGCTGAGTTAACAAGCTAGCTATTTTAGTTAAGATAAGTTGATTTTAACTTTGTTTATCCGCTTATTATATTTGTAATGCATGTAGCGATGTCGCCTAATTGCGATGTGGAAAATGGGAAAATTGAAATTGAGTTTTTAACTCTGCATTTCAATGTTGCATACAGAGACATATTTTGTAGATTTTGTAGATTTGAGTCATCTTCCAAAAATATGAAAATTTTTGCCTTAGAATTTTTTAAGAAACATTTTGTACGCATAGAACTTTGGAAATGTATAGATTTTTGATGCCAGGCGCTAAATAAACCAATGTTACCTCTAATTGCATTATAGCTTTTCTTAGTTCTTAAACATTTTACGGACAGCACTATTATTTAGTGTAGTTATAATACTTTTCAACTTACATTTACAATAACTTGGTCAAAAAAGTAAAATGCTAATATTAATGAGAGTAAGGACTATATTAATAAGAGTAATGATCGATCATACGCTCAAATTGCATGTGTATAGTTGATAGTTTAAATATTGTGGTTTATAATACTTTTAAGAAGAATTTAATGGCGTTATTTCTTAAATTGAATACGTGGTATAATTAATGTATGTTTATAATGTATATTCAATGAACCTGAAGCTCTTAAATAAATCTGACAATGTTTCCAACAAAACTTTTCTTTGTTTGGTTAAATACATTTCAAAAGTGTTTAAATGTATATAAAATGTACAAAATATTTAGATATATAGTTATTTTTTTAAATTGGTATTATAAAAAGGCTAAAGCAAAAATCGAAAGAGCTGGCAATCTGTTTTTGTTTTGACTTTTATGTTATTTGTTTTCGTTTAATTGGGTTTTATTAACAATAATAATAGTGATTGTTATTGTCTTAAAGGTAAAAAAAACTGTTATGTCATAAGAAGCTAACTGCGCTGAATGTTTTCATTTAAATATATTAGAATAATCTTTATCATAACGGGACACCTAATTAAATTTTTATTTTTAAACTACTGTGCTGATGAAGAAAAATATCATAATAACTGTATAATAGCAAATATAAATAAATGCGTTATTAAAAACATTTATTCTTATAATCCGAGTAGTAAATTACTTTTAAAAAAATAAGAATGTTAAAAGTCTAAATATATAAGTTTTAGTATAGTATTCATAATTACATTTATGTTTATATTATATCTTTATATTACATATTTAAATTTATTTATTTTTTGCTTTTAAATAGCTTGATTTCAAACTTTTACATTTATTATTATTAAAAAAAAGTTCAACATTCTTTTAATTCTTACTTTATATTCACTTACACCTAGTTATATACTTTATACCTTCACCTAGTTATATACTTTATACCTTCACCTAGTTATATACTTTATACCTTCACCTAGTTATATACTTTATACCTTCATTAGAAATGAACACATTACACTTCTAAAAACATTTATATTTATGAAGGACAATAAGTAAGTTGTAATGCTGTAACATACCACAAGTCATTCATTGGATACGTTCATAGAGATGCACTTTCATCTATGCAACATTTATGACTTTAATTGTACCTTTAAATATCAAAACTAACGTTAATCCGACAGAATTTTTTTTTTAACTGTGTTCAGGCATAGGGTTTTACGAGGTGAATTGAAAAAGTGAATTTAAAAAAAATCTGTAAAAAATATATAGTCAATGTGTACATAATGTTTTATGTAATTAAAAATTAATGTAAATAATATTGTTATATAGACATTTTAAATATTTAAAGAGTTTTATTATTATATAAAAAAAAAAGTTTGCAAAAGTTTAAATCTGTTAAAAAAGCATTTTTTTTTTATTTCCAGTTTTTAACTATTTGATTTTAAAAGAAAGCTTTATACATAATAAAAATAACTTGAATAGTAACTAATAAAGATTAGTGATCTATAATTTGTTGACAACAAATTATAACTAACTTTCTATTTAATTATTAGCAAACTATTGGTACACTAACAACAAATGAAGTAACACAATTAATTACAG